GATGTTCGAGTTAGAACAAGAATCGATGCCTTCAGAGCAGAACTCACCCAGAGGAGGAGAAGAAGAAGAAACCAAGGAGAGTGAGGTAGTCAAGATTCCAGAGGAATCAATCCTAAAGAGGATCAATTCAAAGAAAGAAACTAAATCTTTCCAACTTGGGAAACAACTATCATGCAAATGGACAACAGGTGCAGGACCAAGGATTGGTTGTGTAAGAGATTATCCATCAGAGCTTCAGTTTCAAGCACTGGAACAAGTGAATTTGTCTCCTAGAAGTGCTGCGGTTTCAAGACTCTGTTTCTCGTCCTCGTCGCAAACGCAAACGCCTCAAATGTCACCGTTATGGAGAGGAATGTCACTACCTGCAGATATCACACACTCATAACTTATGAAATTCTTTTATTTTTATTACACTATATAAGTTCTTTTTCGATCTGATCTATTCTTTTTGTGTGAATAGAGAAGATGATATAACTTAGAAATTCCTTTGTATTCTTTTTTCCTCCTTTACTGTAACAAGAAATTACAGAAAAAAAGTTTTAGATTCTCTATTAGGCTTTTTTGGTTTTGGTAAAAGCTTATATTACACATAAGTGATTCAAGATTCTCTTTCTTCTTTTTAAAACTGTTGTTTACTTTTACATTTCCAGCAAATTTCTGTTCTATTCTCAGGAAAATGTCAGTCTAGTTCCGAAACCCTAGCTCCATCTCACGAACCCTATTGACAACAAGTTTGGGCTTTTAAGAGGCTCATTAAGTTGGTCAAGAAAAATTTGGCCCTGTTAGATTGCTGGTCGCAACAAGAACCAGGTCTAGTCCCATGCTTCACCACCTACCAAGTGAAAAAAAAACTAATTTTCTTATCAAAAGTTTCAGGTTATTTGTGTAAGCTTTTGTTATTATGTCACAAGAAAATCATTTGTTTCTTTCCATTTTTTTCTTACGATTGTAATGTGTACGCCAATAACGTTTGTTGTTTATTATATGAGATGAGACTAGACATAAATTTATGCTTTATATGTAAGTCAAAATGTATGACATTTGATTTTGCAGTTATCATGATTAACAAACTCACAAACTAAATTTATTTAAAGTGTATGTATGACTTTTGTATTTCTAAAATATTTGATTCATTACTAACTCTATTAAATTAGTATTGTTATATTACCCACCAACCAAACCAAACCAATAAAAAAAAATCCAACAAATCAGTCGACGACCTTTGAAATTTCATTTATTTGAGTAATGAATAACTTTATCTTACATAATTAGTAATATCGGTAGACTATGCATTGTTTTGTAAAATGTGAAAACCAAATTAAGATATGCATTAAAATATCTGTACAACAGACAGTACAAGCACTTCAATTTTGGCCAGTATTTAACACAAATGGCATTTAGAATTTCAATACATATCTATATTTTCGAGTAAAACGTAAAATATTTTTAAGTAAATTTATGTATCAATTACTCTATGATAACCTTCTATGAAAGTTTAAATATTTTCTTTTTTTTTTCTTACGGTTTTATCAATAACATGTATTATGCGGATTTAGAGTCTATGTTTAGCAAAAACATGCCACTTATCCACTAACTATTTTTGTTTTTAAAAATTAAATACAAATGGAAAATTTTAAAATAGAGGAATGAAAGCGGGAAGAATGAAAAACGGCAGAAGAAGCATGGTGAGAGCCATAGAGGTTGGTTCGCTCATCAGCTTCATTACACATTTCTCTTCTTCAAAATCTTTCTCTTTTAAATACTCTCTCTTCTCTTCAACTAATCTTCACAACAACAACAACAAATCCCAAAACACCACAAATCTTTAAACACACAAAAAAGTTCCAATCTTTTTGTTCCAACAAATTCGAATCAAATGGCTCCAACACTCTCTACCGCACAGCTCTCAAACCCAGCTGAAGTAACCGAATTCGTCGTCAACAAAGGAAATGGCGTTAAGGGTTTATCAGAAACAGGACTCAGAGCTCTTCCTGATCAATACATTCAACCATTCGAAGAACGACTCATCAACAAATTCGTCAACGAAACAGACGAAGCCATTCCCGTTATCGACATGTCAAATCCCGACGAAAGCAAAGTCGCTGAAGCTATCTGTAACGCTGCTGAGAAATGGGGCTTCTTCCAAGTGATCAATCATGGTGTTCCTTTGGAAGTTCTTGACAATGTGAAAGCTGCTACTCACAGATTCTTCAATTTACCTGTGGAAGAGAAGAGCAAATTCACAAAGGAGAATTCCTTATCGACGAATGTTCGATTCGGAACGAGTTTTAGTCCTCGTGCGGAGAAAGCTTTAGAGTGGAAAGATTATCTCAGTCTCTTCTTTGTCTCTGAAGCTGAAGCAGAACAGTACTGGCCTGATGTTTGCAGGTGTGTTTTAACTTTTCACAATTTTCAAAATCAAATCTTTTCGATTCTTGAATTTGTTCTGTTCAATCAGGAATGAGGCACTAGAGTACATGAACAAGTCCAAGACAATGGTGAGGAAGCTACTAGAGTATTTGGGAAAGAATCTCAATGTGAAAGAGCTCGACGAGACGAAAGAATCACTCTTCATGGGTTCGATTCGAGTCAACCTTAACTACTATCCGGTCTGCCCTAACCCGGACCTAACCGTTGGTGTTGGTCGTCACTCAGACGTCTCTTCCCTCACCATTCTTCTACAAGACCAGATCGGTGGTCTACACGTGCGTTCTCTATCGTCAGGGAACTGGGTTCACGTACCACCGGTTCCCGGATCTTTTGTGATCAACATCGGTGATGCGATGCAGATCTTGAGCAATGGTCGGTACAAGAGTGTGGAGCATCGTGTCTTAGCTAACGGTAACAATAACAGAATCTCTGTTCCTATCTTTGTGAATCCTAAACCAGAGTCTGTGATTGGTCCTCTTCCTGAGGTGACTGCAAATGGAGAGGAACCGATTTACAGAGACATTGTGTACTCTGATTACGTCAGGTATTTCTTCAAGAAGGCGCACGACGGAAAGAAAACCGTCGATTTCGCCAAGATATGAACAACATAATCATACCTCAACGAGTTTGATTTCTTGCTCTTTTTGTTTTTGTGTGAGTGAATAAAGAAGAAAGATGTCTTCTTGAGACTATGTTCAGTATTGTGTTGTATAACTATCATTGATCAAATACAGTTTCTCTTTTACCAGACTAAAGTGTTAGAGAAGCAAGAACTAACAATGAAATCGAAAAACTTATCTCAGATCGAAAAGACTCTCCTCTGTAACAGCTTCGACTCGCACTCTTCTTTGATAATAAGATCCTCTGTAATATCTTCGACTCACGCTTTTCTTTGATAATAAGATCCTGTGTTTGACACTTTATCATGAATCACTATCATCGACTTTGGGATGTTCTTCGTTAACATTGTCAATGTCATCGATAACTTCGTTGAAATTGAAGATCTTCTTCTGCCTAAAGTAATTGATCAAGAAGTACCAACCGACTGCTCCTATGGTCATTATACCGCAAATAAGGTACACAATCTTAGTAGCGAACACAATAATCAACATTAGAAACGCCGAAGGTATCAAGCACATAATCACCAGCCCTGGGATTTTCATCGGTACTCGGTAAGGTCTCTTTAGACCAGGTAGTTTTTTCCTTAACCAAATGAAAGACGCAAACTCAAGAAACATCCCTAGAGTGTACAAGAAATTCGCCGAGGATATTATGTCAGTGAAGGCCAAGTAAGACAATCCGAGAGACATGAGAGCCGAGATTAGAATCCCTACCCAAGGAGTGTTGAACCATTTCGATCGTACCCCAAAGAACTTCGGCAAGAACCCTAGTTCCGCCATACCCTCGAGCTGATAAGCACTACTGCTTAACTGAGCTTCAAAAAGTCCTATACTCGATAAGACAGCGCCGATCTCAATCCAGATCTTCAGCCATTTTCCTGCAATCATCTCAGCTGCTTCCGCGTGAAACCCCGTTTCCCATCTGCTTTGATCTACTGAGACCGCACCCGTGACAGCGAAAAGAGGAATCAAGTAAGCTACACAAGTGACGATCACAGAGATAAGTAGCGCCAAAGGGAATGTCGTTTGAGGCTTATCCACTTCTCCTGCAAGAGTACTGACATTGTCCCAAAAATTCAAGTTCCAAAAGAGTGTATTGAAGTAAAGATTCCAATCCTTTTTCTTGTTCCCTAAGCTACCCCAACGGTGAGGTTTGATCTTAGGAATCGCCATAGCCGACATAACAAGGAAAGGCGAGAGAGACACCAGACCGAGAAAAACAGCTGCGTAACCAACAATGGCTAGGCCAGTGTAGTTTAGGAATGATAAGACCACCGTCGAGGCGAATATGCAGACGTTTCGAGGCCATCCGGATTCAAGAACAGGGAATAACTTATCCAAGTAAGTGACACAGAGTACAGGAAACGAAGCAACATTGATCACACCACTCAAGAACTTCAACGAACCCATCATTGACCCTACGAAAGAGCCAAATGCTCGATGCGCCCATATCACAAACCCTCCGTTGCCTATGAAAAAGCCAATAATCAGGTTTTTAGATCCGAATTAGAGCCCTAGTTTACAATTCTATCGATAGGAATCAACAAGTAGCTTCCTTTGGTTAAAAATTAGTGGTTTCAAAGTCAGATGAGATTGAAATTCAATGTTCAGAAAACAACATAAGTACAGAGATTACATAAAGTTTAGATTTTTTTGTCAGATGAGATTGAAATTCAATGTTCAGACAACAACATAAGCAGTGTTCTACATAGATTACATAAAGTTTAGATTTTTCTTTTTTTTACTCATTGGGTTTGATTACCTGGAAAGGCCGTGGAGAGCTCTGCAGTAATAAGGGCTTCAGGGATACTCCATATGAAAGGGAAGATAAGGAAACCAAGAATCGCTAGAAGCGGTCCAGCCGCTTGAACCGCTGGTTCTTCACCAAACGGACCACCCGCGACTTCAAAGTAAATAAGGAAAATCAAAGGGAGCAAAGTCAGTTTTTTCCTGCCGTTTAAACCAGC